GGATCTGCATGACTGCGGAGGAAGATTTTACCATGTGACTTACTTATCTGATTCATCAGATCAGCGCGCCGTAACAAATTTCCTAAATTCTTATATTGATATTTTTAGTCTGGCCTACTTTGGGATACTAGATCTTTCCAGAGATGATGTTGAAGTTAAAAATTTGTTTACAGATGAAGAATGGAATGAAATGATCCAAGATTTTAAAAGCAATGCTAATTTAAATGATTTGGAAGGCAAACAAGAGAGGCCTCTATATGAGCTGATGGACAAAATCGTCAAAGTTAGCAATTTATATTAATTAACTTTCATTTAATGTATTGACTAATTAAACCATTCTCTGTCTTCTACATTAGGTATTGATGAAGAAACCTTCTGATCTAATTACCAGCATTGAACTGATGAGCAGACTATAAATATCCCATCTTTGATGAGGCAAGCACAAAATGCACATCACTTGAATGATGAGGCAAATGCAAACCACACATCATTTTTGGGGTAGTTATAGTCTGAATTAAGTGGTATAATTATAGTCTATACTGACTATAATTATACCACTAGGGTTGACTGTAGTTCCCTTAAGCCTGGTCATTTTCATATAATAACCAATGTACATTTGTGTACAGATTATTGTATGTGCTTGTGAGAGCATTCATTAATACACTTCAGCTTTTGTGGCCTTATCCATAAAATTGAGGGTCAAAAATCTTGTAATGCTATTATGCATTGAAGTCATTAATAGCATTCCTTGCTGTTTCCAGACAGTAAAACATCAGCAGCAATTAAGAGTAGTTCCTCGGTATGGATTTGAAACTGATAAATCTCAACCCCTGAAATAAACTTTGTGGTTAGTAGCATGCACCTCATTCAAAAGCAGGCAGGCAATACCACAATTTTGCATTTGCCCCAGTCCTTTAGAGCAATGGAATCCTTATCTCATGTATATGTGCTTGAAACTCTGAACAATATATATATTTTTACAGAACTTTTACCTACATAGCAAGAAATAGAAAAATATGCTTGGTTTTTTGGAAGAACATCTAATAATTTGTGTCAAACAACATTGACCACTTCCAACCCTTGATAGTGACTGTTTCTTGTTGGTCTTGGTACACAATGGTTGCATATTCGCCCATCTCACTGTATATGACATGGACTGATGTTATGCCATCAAAAGGTGCCCCAAAGTATGTAATGAGCTTCTTGTCATTGCAGAAGTTAACCATATACATTGAGCATTTGTGTAGCTGGCTATAATATGCTGCATGTCCAAGATGTTTGTCAAACTTATCTTGAGTAGCAGATATCACAAGCTCAAACCCAAAAGGAGGCAAATTGTGATCATGGAGGAGGATATTGAGTCGTCTATGACGTTGACCATCTTCATCATGCTCCTTTGCTTCTGCCAAGACACGATAGAGGAGACTTGCATGGGCTGCATTAAGTAACTCCTTGAGAATGCTTACAAACTCTGCTTGGACAGCATACTCTGATGGCTTATTGTTGCTGTTCATTGTTTGTGGAGCAAATATATTTTCCCAGGCCATATACTGGGAGGTGTAAAAAGATGAGCATGTGGATTAATTCATGCAATAGGAATAACAAAGTGCTAATATTAATATATATATAAAAAAAAACACTTGCCTCTACAGTTCGTGCAAGAAGCCAACGAGGGTTGATGCAATTCAATTGTGGTGGTTGAACACCCTGTATCTTTGTTCCACAAGCATTATAAAGCATTATTGTTCGCAATATTGGAGCTGTACATTCTATTTCAACTGATTGCAATGAAAAGTTCCTGACAACCCTGACCATGCCTTCTGAGAGAAGCTCACTCAAGGCATCACCCCATGGCACAATTGTTGAACCATAACGTAAGACAAGTACAAGCATATTCATTTGCATCTTTGAAAGGTATGGAAGTGCATGCACAATTGAGGTGTAGGTTGCAAGTTGCCTGACTTTTTGAACAAGATCCATAGATGCATATTGTCGCCACTTATCAATGGAAACAGAGTCACCAGATTCAGCCATTTCTTCAAGCATCATGCAACAAACACCCACTAGTCCTTTATGACCAATAGTTCTCTCATATATATCTGCAGCAAAAGATATGGTGTCTAGATCAATGTTTGCTTCCTTTACATATTGGAGCAGAAGCTCCTTGATTTCTAATTCATTAAATGGTCTTGGTGTTATTTCACCCTTTTGTGTAAATGGTGATATTTCAAAGTGGCCTTCACAAGGCCTAAGAAGTTGTTTGACACTTTCAACCCCAATGAGTGCAAGTCCATGCAAGCAACATGTTTCATCTCCTTTGAGAAGTCGCAGCATTCCAATAAAACTATTGATGATAGTGGGGTCTTTATTTACAAGAATGGATGCTTCATCAATCAAAAGAATGACTGGTGATGATGATTGATTTCTCTGGAAAAAATTCTCAAATGTGGTAGCCTGTGCTTCCTTATCATCAAAGATGAACCTAGCAGGATTCTTGGATTGCAATTTTAAGCATATGGAAGACCAAAATGAATTAACACTTTTGTTGAATATGACACCAGAGCTTAAGGAGATCAAGTAAACTTCAGGGTGGACGCGTCCATATCCTTTGATATCAATATTGTACATATTCTGGAGGTAACGTGCTGTAGCATGAGCAATTGTTGATTTACCACTTTGTCTATGTCCATAAAGTAGGTAGAAGTCACCATTTAGGAGGGCATCAGCGAGTTTTTTAACATTATCTGGCTCGATGTAAAAGTTTCGGTCTGGGTATACCTCAGTTCCGACTTGGAAATGTCGAATCCCTAATGATCGGACTTCTAAAAAGTTAACGAATTAAAAAAAAAGAAGAAGAAAGAATGGTGGATTAAACGAAGATTAAATAATATAATAAAAATTAAGCGAGGCATTAATGAAAACAGCACAATATTTGGACGCTCGAACAAGTTGGTAGGTATGGTGTCGGCATCACTATCGTTGACTAATTTATTACTGTAATGTTTTCCCAATACAACTAGGTCTACTCTACCCTACGTACACACTACTACGCCCGAGTCACAAAGTCGTTACCTGTACCAATGCTGGTTCTTATCGGATTACTTTTTGATATCGCAAAGGAGTCTTTTAAGTTGACAAAATTTTCTTCATGTTCATGGAATAAAGCATCGTTTAACAATTTATATTGATCGCCTTCAGGAGCTTTTACTTCAAGAATAATTGTGCTCGCAGCACACGACAACTTTTCTCTTCTCACGATTTCGTTTTGAATGTCACAAATACTGGGTTCGTCATCGGGAAGAACTTCAACACGTATTCGCTGGGAAACACCCCTGTTGTCTTCAAAGGCGTACCATAAACTATGTCTAGTTTTTTTTGGAGACATGAGAGAACTATAGTTGCCCGCTGCGCGACGTGGTCTAATATACTAATACTAACGCTGATCAGTGGCTTAATCAATGACGTATTATTAAGAACTTTTCACAATGTAACCATTGTTCCCTATATGCAGAATGTGACCAATTAATGCGCAGAAATTCGCGCTTGTTGTAATTAGCATGACAAATAATAATAAACGAATCGATACTATAAAAAGAACACCAATTTACCTACATTTTTAATAAACACATACCAAACGCCATAAATAATGTAAAAAGCAAACTTGAACAAATCCAATTAACAATCTCCATCTACATCAACAAAACCTTTCGCAAAAAAAAAATGCTTAATTTCCCTAGCGAATTCTTTTTTGGAATATTTGTTGGCTTCGTTCTCGGCCTGTTGCTAAATGGCATAATTTATAATCGTCAACTCCACAACATGGGAATATTAACCAAGACTATGAAGACCAGAAAGCTATCAAAAACAATACCATCAGTGAACAAAATTATCCAAAATTTTTATTCAACAAAATGGCGCTTGAAATTAATAATAATGCGCACAACGTGTCAAGAACTCGACATAATGATAAGACAAGACTGAAGTAGAATACCAAGCTATATTCATACATCCGATCTGACATATCAGTTCTAAACGGACATAAATTCTGATTTAACATACTAATATTCAGTTCCTAACGGATATAGATTCCGATCTGACATAAATACGACAGTCTGATTATACCGATACCGATAAAATGACTGGTGCCACTCGTACCGGTATAATAATAAAGGGAGTTTGACTGTATATTATTTTCGATCAAACCCATTTTGATACAAAAATATTACTTCAAATAATATTAACGATAAGAAAGAATATAATATGTTTAAATCACGCTTATATTTTACGCCAAGAAAAAAGAAATAAATGAAGTAAAAGCCATTGATCAACAATATTAGCAAAATTTACCCTAACCATATTGCTATCATAATGAAGAGTTATTATTAATATTCGAATTATCGTGATGATCGAATTATCGACACACGATACTCAGAATTATATTTGATGTACATAGTAGCTACATACGTGATATACAGTCACAGGTACGAACGGTTGCTTTTTTATGTCTTGAATTTCTAATTATAATGAAATACTTATCAACACCTGTTACTTCTATAAGTTTAATTCAGTTAATCTTACTTATGTGCTAGATGAGATTGTAACAAGTTACAAATGTTCGAGATATATACAATATCACATACCGGATCAAAGCCTAACCTGATGCCATAAGTGTAAACCTCAATTTTTACAGTATCCCTACGTATTATAATTTTCAATAGAAGCTTGTTTACACTGTTGACCTACGAGTCGACAAGTAACTGACAAATCATACGCCGCACTGACCGACTCACCATATGTAAATTGAAACGTTTCTTGTATTTAGATAGCCAACGTCAGTACCTTTAAATTTCTTATACATAAACGTTCTGCATAGACGCGTGCTATAGCAAGTATAGCTTCTCCGGTGAGAGGAAGGTTGTTTTCTATTACAGTCGTTGTCCGTAACCATAATGTTTGTTCTAAGCTTGGTCATTTTGGAGGGTTACGTGTTGGATCAAAAAGTTCTTACCGCTTGGCTTTATTTCGAAAAACTAAGCCAACCTTCAAAAGACTTGTGATATTTCTTTTGTGAGATACTATCAGCAATTGCTTAAACAGATTTTTGATTTTGTTACATGACGCTATATCTAGACTTAGAAGGATGGACGTAGCCATAATTCGACTACATATCTCTTAGATGTGCGAGTCGGCACAGCCTTGTCATAGTGCAGTAGCTTGAATTGGGGACAGTTGCTCTTCCCTTAATTTCTTTGTAACAGAACGTAAGATGTAATTAGAATTGCTCTCATATCTCTTTATGAGGGTCTTTATTAAGCATGTTGTGGATTTTTTTTCGCAAAGGCCTTCTAATCTTTCTTCCATCGTTGAAATTTTTAACCAGCTGTCATAATGTTAATGTTAGTGTTTTATGTCTACAAGACTTCATTAATTTTACATGGACTTAGTAACGACTGTCGCGTCTTGACATTTCAACAAATATGTAGAATCGGGTATTGTCCACGTGAAATTCGAGATATCTCAACAAACCATCTATTTAAAATACTTGGCCCGCCCTGAAGTCATTGTGCAAATTCAACATTTACCATATTCTTTATCGTTACCATCATTGATAATATAATCATCGCCGTAGTAATTTTTATCTTCATTTACATTATTTTCATTTTTCTCGGAGATAGAAATTTCTTATCATGGGAGCGGCAACGGCCTTTCCTTTGCCAAGCCAAAGAATTAGCCAATTTACAAAAGCAAGGAAACCAGATTTGCCAATTTAATAAAAAATGTGAAGTAACTTATGAATTTCAAAATGCCCGTTTTAAAATTTTGGATCCAATTTGGTTCTTTCGTCGTAGAGAATCGTTCTATGACGTTTCAATATCTGGCGAATAAATTTTGTTCGTCGACAATTTTGTTATTGATCGTAACTTTATTGTCTTAATTAAAACGCTCGTATTATGGAGAGTTATGTTTGGTGTTGCGGAGTAATCCTAGTCGTTGACAACAAATACCACGTCAATAGATATGTTATCAATCATTCCTATGTTCATTCTGTACAGTTCCTTGGAAGCATAGTTGTGATGACAAGAGGCCCAAAATGCAAGAATGAGACTTATCCAAAACCTGTTCCTGTCACAATGGACTTGACAAATGGCTTGCCTGAGTATTTTGAGACTTTCTGCCCGGCAATGTTAAATTTACCAATGCCCAATAGAAGTACGTCTAACGTTACTGCGCCTCAACGAATTTGAGGAAACGTTGCTAAAATTGATGTAAGAGAATAGATGAACATCCTCTTTTTCGTCTGGTGAAATTTTTTGCTAGCAGATGGCTCCTAGGAAAGCAGGTATGTGTACTGTTGTGATTTGTAGTAGTCTAAGAAGATGAATAATCCGACGAAATGACAGACAAGAGGATGGATGCATTCGTTCTCAATGATCTATCAATTATTGTATTTGAGGTTCGTCAACATGTCACGATGGCTAAATACTAATAGCTTTTCCATTTAATCACATTGTACAGCCGCTAAGCGAGGCACCACACAGGCCGAGTCCGGCACGACGAGCGCGACAGCCGAGTCATCAAAGACGGCGACCTCTAAAAAGACTAAAAAACCTTCTCCTAAAGCAAAAGCTCTCAGTGCCAAACGTGCAGCATTAAAAGAGATCATTAAAAAGAAAGAGAGGAAAGTCCATACTTCTACTACTTTCCGTCGTCCCAAGACTCTGCGATTGCCGCGTGAACCCAAGTATGTGCGCAAGTCGGTTCCCCGTACGCCGAAATTGGACAAGCACACGATATTAAAGTATCCGCTGAGTACAGAGAGTGCGATGAAAAAGATTGAGGATAACAATACGTTGGTTTTTATCGTGGATGTGAGAGCGAACAAGCGGCATATTAAAGATGCCGTTAAGAAGTTATATAATGTGGAAGCGGTCAAGATCAACACATTGATCAGGTAAAACGATGAAGTAGAGCTGTTGGGAGTCGGAGATTGACCCTTGTTGCGTGTTAATGTGTCAACTTGGAAATTTTTTATTCACATATCAATCTGATTGTCTACGTTCATTTAGACCGGATGGTAATAAGAAGGCTTACGTCCGTCTCAGTCCTGATGTTGAAGCTTTGGAAGCCGCCAACAAGGTTAATACAATTAATGTATTGCTTGCTTGATTTATTAAGACCAAGTCTTTGTACTAAACGATCTGTTCTTTTTATATAGATTGGATTTATCTAATCGACAGTTTGTTAGAGATTCACACAGGATAAAACTGGCAGGAGAGAACATAATAAGAAGGCGCGAAGTACGCAACGATCCAATAAAAATCTATGTAATGTTATGCATTTTGTTCAGTAATGTCATATGGAAGACGTTTTCATGAGTGTTAAAATATGATGGCTAGAATAGGTATTGGGGGTTTGATTTGTCAAATACAACAAGTATAACTGGATTTTCTTCTTGCTGGTGATCCTGGTAAATTTATCTAAGATCTATAAAGCATATCTCTCCACCCGAAGAATTCTTTGGCGTATATTATATAATTCATTGTGAGCTGCCTGTCATCATCTTTTTATTCGCCAAATACACACCAAAGGAACTTATTTCCACAAGTACTCATTAAGTAGACGCAGACGCATGCATAATAATAATGAAATTCGCAAAACTTTATATGCTTGTTCTGTTATACATTCTCTCTATAAATGTTTGAATTCCGCTTGATGAAAATAATCCAACAGAACGATCCAGGTTCTCGTTATAAAAAACATAACATTAAAATCACAGAATACAAATAGTATATAATACAACTTCCATTTAAAAAAATAATAACGTAAATAGTCGCAATGATTAATTAGGCGATCTCTAGTCGCAAGATGTTTAATAAAGAATAAGAACCATTGATATTTATGATAAGATAAACGAATATTGTCGTCTCACGATGTGAAAAGCTCGAGATATAATAGGAATAAGCAAATAAATGGGGGTTTGTCTATTTTCTGCGCATACTAGCTTGCAATCGCTCCAACTCGCCTTCCAAATCCTTAATGTGTGAATGCTCGGACTCCAAATCTTTGTTGAGACGATCACGCTCAGCGATAAGCTGTCGAGGGTTGGAATAGTAATAGCACAATTGCAAGGATGATAGAAAGCCGATAAAAGAAATTCAATTAGAATGTCTATTTGCATATGAAATTTCCATGTTTGCAGAAAGTCTCAACTTACATGTTGCTCCCATTGACGGAAACGATTCTCTTCGAGTTTGACTTGTTCAGTGAACCTCTTGCGGAGAGATTCTTCTTCTTCTTTGAATTTAGGATTATCAAGCTTCTTTTGCCTACATGCCACGGAATGTTGGTATGAGTGTGGACCGATTTATTACGTCGTAAAATAAATAGTTACGGGTCTTGACTTACTTGGGCTCCCCAAACTTCCTAGTCTCCATTTGCGCCTGGCGATAAGTCTCATAGTGGGTTTCTTCTGTGGTAGCAATCAAGTCTAACATGTGCGTTCTGTTTGTTGAATTGTAGCATCGTTAGTCGTATGAGGAAGGATGAGTGTAACATACTCATTATATTCGTGTATTTGGTAATCACCTGATCAATAGCTGGCGCAATTTCTGGAAGTCACAATGATCTTCATTCTCGACCTCAGCTACTCCCCAGCTATATTGCCGACCCTTTACTCTACGGCCGTCGGCTGTAGTGACGTCTTGCTCACTACCAATGATAGCAAATGGCATTGCGGCCTACACGAAGGTACATATAATATAAGAACAATGAACAACTTGTTTACGGCGTAACATATGCAAATGTGCTTAAATAGTTTACAAGATCTTTATATTGCTTACCATAATGTTCATGTTGCGTTTAGTGCTAGATTCATCATCGCTCTCGATTGGGCATTGGTAGACCTGAATGTTTTGAGCAGCGATAACTTCTCGTACCTATAAATAAAATTTACATAATAAAGGTTAACACTTGTAGGACAGATGTGTTAGATACATATCCATATATTCGTTCTTGCTTACCCTTCTCTTGAAAGTCTCTAAGTCATTTGGTGTAAGTGTATCAGCCTTGGCAATTACTGGGATAAGATTAACACGAGATCCCAAACGCTTCATAACTTCAATATCTAATGGTTTCAAGCTACATACATTTGCAAAAAGCAATACCAAGCATAAGAAATACTTTCACTAGCCAAATCGTGTCCTATCTATAGTAAATCGATCGAAAGTTTGTTTGATGAGCACTCACGTATGTCCCGTTGGTCGAATAAAGTACAAACAAGAATGTACTCTCAAATCCAATTTCTCCCCGCGGTGCGGTTGCTGTTCTTGCCGCATGTATGATTCATGCTGGTCATCGATAAATTCAACGATTGGTAGCCAACTGTCGCGATTGTTTACGTAGTCGCCGAATCCAGGTGTGTCGATGACGGTAAGTTTGACTTGGAACGTCTTTTCCTCAAGTTCTATTATTAGTTTGTTAAATAAAGAATGTGTCAATAGATCGTAACGATAAAAAGTGACAGCGAAAATTTTAAACAGACAATCGAATAATTCGAATAATTCGTTGGCCCACTATCAGATAAATGTTTAACATTACAAAAACCAACAAATAGAACCAGTCTACCTCCCCCCCATAGCGGTCACAACACTCACCTGCTTTCGTTATCTCAATTTCAACCGTCTTGTCAGTTTGCTTGGCATGGCGTTTATTTTGGTTCTTATGTTCTTTGATCGTAGTAGTGAAAAGTGTATTGATAAAAGTCGTCTTTCCAAGACCGGATTCGCCTATTAGCACGTTACAACAAGACGTCAGTCATCTCTACACTTAATTGCAAATACATAGCCAACAAGATGACTAGCCCCTCAAAGTCCGGCATTCTCAACTACTAGGTGTATTGACAAACGCGCGCGCATAACCTCAACATACCAACAACCATAAGCGTAAAGTTTGTTCCACGCTTAGCAACTATCTTATGGCGCTGGTTCGGCAGATTGGCGATGCCGATGCCATTAGTCGAGATTGGACCGGGAGACATTATTTCAATGAATTTATTAAATTATTATTAAACCCTGAGCTTTTAACAAAAGGAAAGGCGATGGGTTCGTTGGGTAGATATAAATTATTCTATTTCCTTCTACGCTAATGAATGGAAAGTAGCACCACTAGACGGAACTTTTAAATTATAATGAATATTCTCCACAAAAGTAGCAAAGAGAAGAGAAATCCTGTTGTATACTTCAACACCGAAACCTTTTTCTTCCTAAAAAAATCCAACTTGGTTAAACGAATTTCTTCAATATGCAAGTGGTTGACCAATGGAACATTAAGAATTGATTAAGAATACAGAATCCACCAATCAAATTCTAGATACAGTTTATTTTTGCATTAAAGTGCAAATTTCGACGTGAAATGAGGAGAAATCATGGAAGGTGCATTGTTGTTGGACGAGACTGTGGGCCACGGATCTGTTGTGTACTGTGTGAGTTACTATTACTATTACGACAAATTTAGTTAACGTAAATCTGACGGATGATTGGGTACAAAGAAGGACATTAATATATGATGACCTGTCAAAAACAACAAATCAACTATTTTGTATTTCTTTCGTCTTTGCTTTCAAGATATCATCGATATCTTTCGTATATTTATCGACTATTACTTGAAACTATTACCCATTCAACAAACAGTTAGTAAAAAGCTTTACATTCCATTCATGCAGTTGTAAACCTGAATCGAATTTGAAGTGATAGCTCACCTTCTTAGTGAGCTTGTTCCCATCATCAACGGGCAATCCATCGCGAACGTCTTTCTTTAAATCTTTGAGACCCTCCTGCCGAACATGACGAATCTTCTGTCGTGCATGCTCTGCGTTTTTCTTTGCGATATTGACTAATTTCTCACGAGATTCTGTTGTCAGCCTTGATAAATTAGCGGAATGGTGAGAATGTGAACTACTTATTGGTGGTGGGAAAGTCAGGAAAAGAGGGTTACGTGCTTTGGTATTGGTACTCGTAGGCCTTTCGTATCCTCAAGGGGATTTAGGTTAAGCTCTGACGTCCTTATAGCTTTGTCAATTGCTGTAAGCAGCTTGGAAAGAATAGACAGAGATTAGTTGATGTAGAATGAACGATTCTTGAAAAAAGAGATAGTTACCGAGTTGTCTTGAACAGTCACGATGAGATTTTGTGGATCTTTGACTATGACCTGAGCAAGATCTTTGAGCGGTGTTTTGCCAGTCGAATGAGGTACAACTATTGAATCTAGTAGAGCTAATGAACCAAGTAATCCGCTAATTAATGATTGATTCTGTATCCTCAACCTTTCTTTACAATTCATACGATACTACACCAGGATTCGCTCTTCCAGCTCTCATGGTACTGTAGTCCTTCTTTAATCTCTCAATGATATCTTTCATTTTATCTTCCAATGTCTCCACATCAAAATCGAGTGCATCAGATGCAGAGTCTTTCTTTTTTCCACTTTTGCGGGGGTTGTCATCCTCCGGTTCATCCAGATCATCTATTGGTTTGCTATGTTTCTGTTTCTTGTTACCCTTCTTATCTTTCTTGGATGAATATGGTCGATAAAAAACGGAATTTTGGAAGGTGGGATGCGTGCGCGATATGCATATACAAGTATCAATTGGACGCGTTACATTTAGGATATGCGGCCGTAATCTGATAGAGAGTAATTTTCCTAGTTGGAAAAGAGTGTGACGGGACATGCTACACCGCCGTTGTGAATAATTTACGAGAATAACGAATTCTGGATAAAAATTCTTTATCACGTGTATGTTTGTTTGATCGACGAGTTCCAATTGGTTAATATTAATAATAAAAATATTATTACTTAATACATTGCCAAACATTACTTCAGTACTTGTACAAAGTATACAGTGAAACCCGTTTATTCCCACGTGTAGATATAACAGTTTCATAAATTAAAGATTGCTCTTTATAGTGTGGATTTGCACGCGTTAATAAAATGACGATTACAATAGAAAATGTTTCTGCCACTAAGACAGAATTAGACTCTACACTACAATATAATATGAATATCTATCGTCGTAAATATATATTGACTCAGAAACGTCAGCTATGCCTTCACAAGAGAGGCGACTTGGCTAATAAACATTGATGCTAATACACAAAAGAAAGTGGAAACATTATCGTTGAACCAAAGAATAAAATCTTGTGATCGTTGGCCACGAATATTTTACTCCTCGCTGGTTTTCCACTTTTAAGCATCCACGGATAAACTACAAAGTTTAAGAAAGGCACACCCTTGTGATCGATTGTCAAACAAGAAAGCATAGAAGCATTTGGGACTAGATTGTTCAAGCAGATGGATTTCGAGCGTACAGGACCCACTTGTAGTGCAGTTTAGCTGGCAAAAGGCTTCAAATTTTTTTTATTCAGAGAGATTAATCCAACAGGCCGCGTCGTATGTACAACAGTTGTAGATGAAAATCCACCACAGGCAACGCATCAATGTCATTTATTACCTTTTGATCATGCATCAGCTCATGCTGTTTTATAATAACAATGTTACAATTAAGTGAATTCATCACAAAATTTTAAAGAGCGTGGTATATTAATATTAGTATAATAATTGTATAACTAAAAATTACTTGATCAAACAACGAGTGGCATCCAACCCGTTGCTATTGGCCTGCTGCGTCTGCTTGCTCTAATTTTTTTGCTTATTTTTACCTGTAAAAAAAAACAAAAACAAACGACAACCGGACTAATACTATGCGAAGAAACTATTATGAAAATGGAGAGTTGATATGTCCTTGTAAGTAACAATGACCCATTACTATCATGCAAACTCTACTCGATAACTTCGATGTCATTGCCGCATTTGGCCTTTTACAACTAACGCTAAGGATTTATTTGTTTTTTTTATATTCTGGACAGTAACTAGAGTAAGTTCCTATGGTTTAGTTCTACGTTAGAAATATTATCTTATTTTAATAATCAACCCGAGTGGAGTTTTTAAATGTCTTGGTACATAACGAGGTCTCGACCGTATGTAAGCGCACTATTATTCCATTGTCGTTCAATTAATAAACAACAACAAGTTTAATTATTAAGTTATCGTCTGCTAGCATTATTACTGACTCTGTTTGCTTAAATACGTACGTACCAACTTGAACTTGTTACTTAACTTTCTAATAAACTTTCTAATTAGTTTTCAAGTCGTAAACATTGGACTAAACGCGGTCTCTCACATCGACAAGAGCTATAGTATTAAAAAATGTTAATGTTTTCTCGAATGCCTATTTCTTAGAATTTCATCGACCCGTCGTATACATTTATAGTGTCGCCATCTGTCATGCATTGAACGGGAATTGGATTACTACAGCAGAGACACTTTCATTCTATACAAATATTCACTAGAAGTCAAATCAGCGGAACCTCTTGAAAGACTACTCATGAAGTTTTGCTATGCAACCTCAATTGTGCATGTGATACAATTCCATGTCTTATTATGAGCACGTGGAAATCAAATGTCTTGATATTGAACTGGTGGGCATTGTCATATTTGAAAAGTTATAGCATATTGTCCAGAGAAATAATTGTCTCGTACCTTGCATCATATTTTGAATCTACGATGATATCGGGTGCTTTCACATCGAGTTACAGTCGAACCTGGTTATAACGAAGATCTATTTATAATGAAGATAAATTTTCTCCAAGCCAATCGTTTTTGAGCATCCGGCTGGCTATAGCGAATTTCATTAAGAAACTTGGTTATAAGGAATATTTTCTCTGGTCCCGTAGGATTCGTTATAACCAGGTTCGACTGTACTTAGTTGACCACAAATGTTTAGCGGTAATTCAATTAATTGTTTATCATCTTTACTAGATTGTTATTGGTATTAATGCGAGGCCTTTCAACTTATAAAATTCAAATTAGTATTAATATTATATGGCTTTAAATCATTGCATGTCTATAAAATTTTTGTAGCCGTAATAATAAAAATGATAAAAATTCTTTACAAAATAAATAAATAAATAAATAAAAAGAATACACTCGACAAATCTTGAAGGCCAAACATACCGAGATACCGATTATTAAAAAACGTTTAAGCATTGTAATTTTTGTTTAAGCACACTGGGTTTGTCATTCAAATAGCTATTTGATAGCTCATTCTTCCAACATATTTCAATGTTAAACTTCTGTTACAAGCCATAAAAAAAGAATATTGCCAACTGCTATCTTGACTAGAAACAGCTTTCCTGACAATTCTACTATTGCAACAAATTCTTAACTTTAAGAATTGTAAAGTTTCTTAAAATTAAATGTGAGAATCTTTTTGAAGTAATAATGAACGTTGTTTATGATTATAATATACAATATATTGTATATTATTTAACTTCTTCATAATAATGTGTCATTATTCAAATTGTGAGCTAATTTGATAGTAATAGTAACCAGCATATGAGACTGTACATATTGACAAAGATGCATTCAAAGCAGTGTATAAAGATAGATTTTAGGATTACGTATAGAAGAGACGAGCGTCATCTTTGAGTTTGCACATTGGACAAACAAATTAGTAAGTGCAAATCTTACGAAACTTACTGGAATGCCCTCTTTACAAATTTTGACAGTAAATTCTCCATGCGCAAATGCCATCGATACTCTACAGATAACAAATTTGAATGTTGAATAACTACATGCAAAGACATTTAAAACTTGATACAAAAAGTTGGCTTCACATGCCTCTAATATTAATTTGAATCAAAGATAATCTACAAGAAGCAATTGAAGAAATAACTCGATCATGGAGGATACGTATCAGTCAGCAAACTACTGTCGCCCATCCTTGTGTATTTATTATTATCGGGGATAGAACATATATATTTGACAAAATTTTTCCAAGCTGACTCGCAATCTGCCCGATCTCTATCATTGCTAAAGAATATTGTTTCGAAAGAATCGTGAACGGCGTGATCCTGTGAGGGAACTGCAGTCCGGAATGCGTCTAAATGAGACTGTAATAAGGGGTCCAAAGTCTTATTCGTTGCTGCCATAATCAGTCGACGGATTTACAAAGTTAAAGTGCCCATTATATCTAAGAAATTGATCACAAAACTGTATTAAGACATATTAAATGTACTAATTGAATACTTTTGCACCGGTCATTTAGCGAAAACTATCAATATCTGATATTATTTTGGATAGCATGTCAGAAAGCACGCGTTATCAGATAGTGTTGAAATTGACAATGAAGCTTCACCTGAACTCGAATGTAACTACACAATTTGTTTAGCATCAAACTAATTACCGGTTTCATAAACTTTAGATAATTGGTTTCGATATCCATACTTTCTTACATATTCAAACGATAACAGTTAACTCAATCATATTGATGTGCACGAAAGCATATCGTATTTAATTGGGAGAGGAGTAAACGCTTGATTAAAACTTGTATAAACTGTGTAATTACAAGTTTATTCAAAAAAGAGGTCGAGTCTCTAAATTACAAGAATGGGACGGTTAACATTGTAAATTGACTTCATCTGTACCAACATGTAATCATACCTGCAGCTGAATCCAAAGCATAACTGTTTTTTGGTTTAGGTAAATTTCCTGTAGGTAAGAGCTTACTAGAGTATTTACTCTCCTTCTCGAGACGTGATAAGGGGTTTACATCATTATAATAAACTGAATTCCACGTGTTGCCATCAGAATTGTCCTTGTCCACCTCTGTAATAAGCTCGTAAATATCATCCTTAAGTTCCCTTGCATCTGGACGCTTATCAGGATCAGCATCACAGCACCGCTTGGCAAGTTTCTTGTATTCCTCTGGTGTGGAATCAGGCATCAATGGTCGTAGTCCGCCCATAATATCACATACTAAATCTCTATCAAACTGCCTACCTCTAAAAGGTGGTTCACCAGTAGCAATCAAATACATAATGATACCAAAAGAATACACATCTGATTTCAGAGTAAATTTGCAAGTATGGAAGACTTCCGGTGCAATAAAGGGTAAAACGCCTCGGATGTTTGAATGTGACTCGCGTGAGTTCGTTGATTGTGACAAACCAAGATCGCATATGAATGATTCTGTCTCATCATCGTTCTCATGCAAAACTATGTTTCCACCATGAAGATCACAATGCACTAATCCCATAATCTGAATATTATACAGATCATATGCAATATGCTTCAAACGCTCCAATTTCATCCTCCACGTCAATTTGTTAATATTTTGATCCAAATAAGACAAAAGACTACCATTGTTAGCATATTGCAT